CAACTAGTTGGTCAAAAATATCGAAACAAAACAACTTTAGCTAGCAAAACGCGATTCAGCAGCCATTGTTTTGGTTTTCAAAGCCGGCGTTTTTCCCTACTAGTGGGCTATAACATACTGTTATAGTCTAGTAGTAACTGAACCAATCAGAACGCAGCATTGATGATAGACCACTAGTTGGATTTTATTAAAATACATTAGTTGGGTGTTGAACTAATTTGTAGAGAGAAAATGGTTTGTCTCTGCCGGTGTTTGGTTTCATTGTAGAAAAATACACACGTTAACGCTAAATGGTGATTTTAATCAGTATCAAATTTTTGGCTGTGAATAAACTCAGCATTTCTATACAATCTTGATGAAGTACAGAAATCTACAAATTAATATCATTTTATCTGATATTGAAAAAATGAAAAACAAAACATTCAGAAAGGTCATGCAATGGATTTTCAAATACTAGTGAGCTAAAAAATAATAATTATAAAAAACGATCGCCATTGGTTCTCACGATAAACTTGACCAGGTTTTTCACTTAAGTTCCTCGCGCTTTATTGTAGCCGTTTTAGATCCTTGTGGAAGCGTTTGAAATATATTAAAGACCCTCCGAAGAAACTGAATTCTTTAACTAATATTATCTGTTCGCGAAATAGTTGATTTACTGTTATTAGTGGTAAAAAAATTGACTGGAAAAACTTCAAAAAGTGGCAGAAATTGTTTAACAACTTTACAGAGGGTGAAAATGAAATAATCACTATTAATATGAGAGATACAGATACTTAAAAATGCATTGAAAGAAATCTTTTTAGTATTTTAAAAAACATATTTTCTTGTCGTATTGAAAGCTTTCAAAAAAGGAAGCAAGTATTTGTCAGTATTGATATCTTCATCGTTATTGCCACAACTTCGTGTTCATTAAATCCGTGGTATTGGAAATGGAAACGAAATCCTGTTATGGTGTGAAAACGTTCTCAAAAAGAAAAGAAGCAATTATAAGTTAAGTAGAGTGTGACCTCATTACATATATTAGCCGTAATCTTGCTCTAATATATCGACCAGTTTGAATGAAAATATGCACATCTCATCAATAGCATAGAGAAAATAGGCGAAACAGGAACACTGAGCTGTGTGAAACTGGATGAAAGAAAAGTTCACATACAGGACAGAGTGATAACGTCAATCGGAGAGATAACCAGAGAGGTAAATAGCTATACCATTACCGATTATGTTCGTCGAATAAATCGTTGTTGATATTTACAGGCTCCAGACTCACAGACTGAGCGGCACTAGTGCCTAACACATACTTCAAATGCTATCAATTATTTTTTTTTTCAAAAGATAAAGCAGATTTAAAAAAAATGAAGAAATATTACCAATTATTGTATCACAGGATATCTCTGCCATAGTGACTTGTATATAAAAGTACTAGCGACACAGCCAGTAGCCGGCGATAGCAGACGCCATTTTCGGCTTTTTGCTTCAAAATCATGCATCGTAAACTCAAAAGACGTCTACTCTCTCAGGATACTCGTCAGTGTTGTTAATTAACAAAAATCTATGGATATCATCTGATCGTCTGATCGACTAGGAATATGTTTTCTCAAAAAGAGGCCGCCAAGGATCGGGAAAAATATGAGAGCTCGAGATGAAACCTGGCGCTCGAAGGAGAGTTCATTTGAATAGTTCTTCAGTTATAAAGTCTTTTCAGGGACTTGCAACTGTCATGGTCTCGTGAAAGCACGTAAAGGGGCTATTTATAATTCAGTTATTGAAATATTTACTATGTTAAAAGTTCAAACTGTAGTGGGAAAGCCTTTTATTTATGTTTATCAACACTGAAAACCACGTAAAAACAACTGAAGAGAATTTGAAAGGATCATCGGAGATACAATATCCGTGAACTGATATTGAGATAACTTTTAAAACACCAATTTATCCAAAAACAACTATTTCTTTTCATTAAATCTTGACTAATTTTGGTAAATTATGTTCCATCGTGGTTTCTTTTCTAAGTCTTTGTTTTCTTCCATAGCTTTAAGCGGATATTTTGACATTTCACTCAACTTCAAATCATTTGAAAATTAACCAACTGCGTGACAACACCTTTTCAAAACGACAATATCCTTTCAATTTAAATATAAAAAATTCAAGCATAAACAAAATGCCAACAAATATACTTAACTATTTTGTGATTGTGCCTCTTAATGTAAGTATTTTCTTAAGTAAATTTTTACAGTGAAGATCACAGCCCTATCCTATCCTAGCCCAACTCCGGCGAAGTTTTCTACGATTTTTTTCAGAACTTTGATCGATTTTGAGTAAAAATATAAAACTGACCGTCAATATTGGTCATTTTGAAGGTCAGCGAGNGTAAGTATTTTCTTAAGTAAATTTTTACAGTGAAGATCACAGCCCTATCCTATCCTAGCCCAACTCCGGCGAAGTTTTCTACGATTTTTTTCAGAACTTTGATCGATTTTGAGTAAAAATATAAAACTGACCGTCAATATCGGCCATTTTGAAGGTCAGCGAGAGACTGGGTCTGTGTTTATTTTCATCGGCTATTACGAAGTTGAGCAGGAAACTGGGGCAAAATTCGTCCCGCAAAGCAATCCCATAGTGCTATTCGACACAATATCGACCCAGCTTCACCCGGTCAACACTTATTTCCATCCGCCAAACTGACGTTGACAGATTAACGATTCGTACACAAAGTAAGGGTTAGGGTTACGGTTAGGTTTAGGTTAGGGGTAGGGTTGTTGCTATATGCATTCAAATCAAACCATTTGGTTAGGGTGAGGGTTAGGGTTAGGCGACAGAGAAATTTCATGTAAGAAAAGTGAAATCTCTTATGAGAGCCACTGAGAGGAAAATGTCAGTTTGGCAGATGGAAACAAGTGACTGCTTCACCCGCGGCAACTTCAAAATGGCCAATTGACAGGGATGGAACCCGTCAAAATCCCCGACATTTGTCAAAAGACAAAACATTTGTCAAGTCTAAACGAAACTATAGTGCCATCTTAACTGTAAACACATAGAAATGTTATCTCGGCAAACATAATAAAAATTATTTTAAAAAAGAAAATGAGTACAACTGACGCATCATCAAAGGCATCAATAATTAACTCCACGAAACTGAGGGGGCTATTCGCAGGATACCGGAAATGACTTTTATTTCGGAATGAGTTCATTCCGGTTTTCATTCCATATGAAATTCTCGTTCTGGAACGAAATTTCATTCTAATATCATGAAACTGAAAACGAAAGTCGTTCTGGATTGAAAATCGCAAATCGTGTCAGTCTACGGGCAAGTGGCTCATGCGTGCCTGATCTGGCGCGAAAACCACGCGAGTCAGAACGCCTAAGGCTGCCAGACGATGTTATCATGTCAATGCAGTACAAACTTCACTCTGGAACCGAACTCATTCCGGAATGAAAGTCGTTCCGGTATCATGTAAACATGATCCTCAATTATCCTCAAATAACATGGTTACCCGTAGCTTTCTCAAAGTGGATAAATAAGTCCTAAAGTGACCATTCAAATGAAACATCCTCAGTAGTTCTTTCATACAGCACCACTATCTTTTTGCTTTTGTCTTGTTTGAAAATGGGAATTTGTCCGGAAACTTAAGGGTCGCCAACGAATTAGAGAAATCTAGCCTCGTTTGCACTAGTTTGCTGCATTCGAAACTAGTGCAACTTTCTTAAATTTCTAGTCAAAAGATTTATGGCTCGCAGGAAATCTTGTATTGCTGCTTATCACGATTAAATTGGGTTTAATAACTGTTATTCTTTTCGTCTTAAAATGAGCTGTCGTGTTGACTAGAACAATTTGAATTTCGCAACGCCATATAGGTTTTTTTAAATAAATAAAGCAGTCTTTTCGTCATGAACTTTTGTGTTTTGAAAGGGCCAAATATTTGTTTTGATATTAAAATTTTGCAACGCGGAAGATCTAAAAAGTGATTTGTTCCCCAAGTCAAAAAACAAAAGATAAAGTGTGTTGTCGCCTTTATTAATAGCGGTGTGTGAGTGTTATTTTGGTGGCATTTAAGATGAAATGAAGATCGATCAAGATAGTTTTCCCTAATTGTTTTCAACATGGCTCTAATAAAAGTGAGGATTCCATTTGAATTTTGAATACAATCGATCAGGGTGTTAATGGAAAAGAAATTAAACAAAACCAAAATGAACAAGTTTAGTTCTGTCAATAGACTTCACTTTTGAATGGGAACAATTTGACACCTTGCCAAAAGTAAGTTATTGTTAGTAAACCATCACGTTTAATTTTCCCACCAACTTAAAAATATTCCTATTTTCTCTTTTTTAAGGTAAACAGAGCTTAGGGCATTTTCATGATCTCTGATTGAATCTCCCCGGGGGTTTCAAAATATCACTAACTGTGATTCTTGTTATGTATTTCATACAGACAGAGGAAAAGAAGTTTACTAACCGGTAGAAGAAAGGCAAACAGCAAAACCGCCTTGAGGAAACTGTGAAATCCTAGCTCTTTGCGGTTGCGAGAAGATACCAGAAGATCGAAGGAAACGGATTTTTCTGAGGACCTAATAAAGTCCACTCCAAAGCTTCTCTCCTCTGAGCGTGATCACGGACTGGAAGGGATATGAAGTACAAAGGTGGAGACAAAAGCAGGCATGTCTTGACGTCAAACAGCTTGAATGTTTGATCTTTCTGTAGATGAAAGACCAGCCTGGGTTTATTTAAGAGGGACAATTTGCAAGATTACGTGGTAAATTAAAGATACAACTTTGAATTTAATTCTTCGGACAAAGTAAAATATTTATAGTTCTTCGGGAAGTTTTTTTTTAATCTTTGAGAGGAAAACGTGAGCTGATTTCTCCGTCGATCAGCCGTACAAGTTGTAAACGTGCGATATCTGGCAAACATCCGAAGAAGTGAATTCAAGAAACAGGCGGGTATCAACTGTCAAGATATATTTTTGTTATTTGCACAGGTTGCACGTAAAAGGAACTAAAACAACAAATATGAGTCCTGAACCTGAGCCCGAATATCGGCGCAGTACCTCATTGCCTGAAACGGAGCCGAAAGGCGAAAAAACGATTGCCGAACCCCTTCCGGAGTGGTCGAAAGCCATCAAAGAGTGGGGAGTCGCATGGGAGTTTCACCAGTACGGTCTGGGTGCAGTTTACGCCTTACTATTCTTTCTGATATCAATGTGGCTATGGAAACGTATAAGACGAGTGCTTACCGGTAACCAGGGCAACAAAGTACCTATTATTGTTTTAAGTCTTCTTGGCTTTTTCTGTTTTACCAGAAGTTTGTGTCTTTGCATTGATGCTTACCACTGGAGAAAAATCACCCCGGTGGCTTTTGTTAATGTTCTCTGGGGTATTGGCCAACCCTGTCTCATCGCGGCTTACACCTTGGTCTTCATTGTAATGCGAAACGCTCTAACGCTCAAGCAGCATTTTCAACAGTGGTACAACACAAGGAACATAGCAATAGCCACTCTACCGTATTTTATCTTTGCGCTAGCCGCAGAGCTCACTTTGTTATTCGTACCTGCGTACAAAGGCCTCGCTTTTACTTGTCAGCTTTTGTACATCTTGTTCGGCGTTTCTCTAACAGTATTCTACGCCATAATATCCGTTTTGCTCTGGAGAAGGCTCTCCATCTCCAAAAATAAATGGGCAACGGACACGGCACGGGCCCGCGGCAAACGCACTCGAGCAATCTTACGAACGTGTATTGCAGCCGCGTTTGGCGGTCTCAGCATCTGTGCCATGCAATTCTACGCCATGACTAGCGTGTACGGCGTGTTTTCGAATGCACGAAGCGTACCTGCTTGGCCGTGGTGGGCGTTCCAAACGACCTTTCGAGTGATTGAGATTTGCATGGTAGCAATTCTCTGCTACGCTGTAAATGACAGAGGAGTGGATGCGAAGAAAGGCGAAATAGCACCTTCNATTGCCGAACCCCTTCCGGAGTGGTCGAAAGCCATCAAAGAGTGGGGAGTCGCATGGGAGTTTCACCAGTACGGCCTGGGTGCAGTTTACGCCTTACTATTCTTTCTGATATCAATGTGGCTATGGAAACGTATAAGACGAGTGCTTACCGGTAACCAGGGCAACAAAGTACCTATTATTGTTTTAAGTCTTCTTGGCTTTTTCTGTTTTACCAGAAGTTTGTGTCTTTGCATTGATGCTTACCACTGGAGAAAAATCACCCCGGTGGCTTTTGTTAATGTTCTCTGGGGTATTGGCCAACCCTGTCTCATCGCGGCTTACACCTTGGTCTTCATTGTAATGCGAAACGCTCTAACGCTCAAGCAGCATTTTCAACAGTGGTACAACACAAGGAACATAGCAATAGCCACTCTACCGTATTTTATCTTTGCGCTAGCCGCAGAGCTCACTTTGTTATTCGTACCTGCGTACAAAGGCCTCGCTTTTACTTGTCAGCTTTTGTACATCTTGTTCGGCGTTTCTCTAACAGTATTCTACGCCATAATATCCGTTTTGCTCTGGAGAAGGCTCTCCATCTCCAAAAATAAATGGGCAACGGACACGGCACGAGCCCGCGGCAAACGCACTCGAGCAATCTTACGAACGTGTATTGCAGCCGCGTTTGGCGGTCTCAGCATCTGTGCCATGCAATTCTACGCCATGACTGGCGTGTACGGCGTGTTTTCGGATGCACGAAGCGTACCTGCTTGGCCGTGGTGGGCGTTCCAAACGACCTTTCGAGTGACTGAGATTTGCATGGTAGCAATTCTCTGCTACGCTGTAAATGACAGAGGAGTGGATGCAAAGAAAGGTGAAATAGCACCTTCAAGTATTGTCTCATAGACGCAATTTAAACCCAACGTGGTTGAAATGAGTGAACAAGTATAATTGGCAAGAAGGTGAACCTAAAAACGTTATTTTAACTGTTGGACATTTTCGCTAGATCTGTATATTTAACAAACAGGGATCCCCACCCTCACCCTTTCATCTCCTGATCAAAGTTGGCGCGTTAAGCTGTAACCAACAGGAAACCGAACCAGCCTTGCCCTCGGTGAGATCTTGAAAGGGGTGGGGGGTGGGTGAGTGAAGAATCTAGACATTTTTCTTTCAAGAAGTGCCTACTACGAAGTGTCGCACAAAAGAGAAAATGTTGCTGGAAAAAACTGGCCACGCTTTCCGAATTTTCCAAGCTTTCTTTTCAAAATAAGTGTAAGTACAAATACTCTACGTTACGAAGAATTTTTCTTATGTCCAAAAATATTCATTTAAATATGAAAGGGTTTGCATTTTCCCTCATTTGGAAGGGGATTTAGCCATGTTAAAATGGCCTATCGCTATTGTTGTGATTATGAAGGAAACATTGGGGTTCAAGAATTGTTATTGATAACAAACGAGGTCACCAAGCCATGGCAAGGAAAGTAAACTGCTTTTAAAATTTAATTACGAGCGTAACTGAACTAAAAAGATGGCGTGTACCGAATCTAAGGTGTGAACTAGTTAACGCTTCCACAATTGATAGTGTAACTTGACGGTTTTAAACAGCAAGGTCCACTCGGCGTGACGCCTTACTTGCCCAGCCCGCACACCAAGCCCTGAGATCTCTAGTTCTGGAAGTTATAGCTTTCTCCGCAGTATATACGGTTAAGGAAATACTTTTTTCCAGAATCCCTTAATTCGCCTGGCGACCGTGACTCGCCGTAAACCTTATGTCGTGGCATTTTCTTCCTTAGAAATTGTAAAATTGACGTTTTCGAGACTGATAAACCGAATTTATTGGAGCCACTTTACAGTGTAAATTGATTAACTATAGTTAATAATCTTGGTTAAGTGAATGAAATACAGTAAAAACTATCTCACGTCCCTAACGGCTTAGTTTCTTAACTTCTAAAATATATTATATTTTGTTGGTAAAAACCGTGGAAAAAGTCATTTTAATTGACACAGCAAAAACCCAACCACCCCACACCTTCTGCCTCTCGACCCCATCATCTGCTTCCGCTCACAAGTCCCTAGTGGTCATGCGCAGCAGAGCTCTTGAGTCGAGACCTTCTTCCGACGAGTCACGCAGTGGTCACCAGTGTTTAACCTTCAAGCGTAGACGCTTTACCCGTGTCTAGCAGACCTGGCGAAGACGTCAATCGAAAACTGGGGACATCGAAAGGACAATTTCCACACCGTGTTATAGTATACGTTGTAAATTTGTGAGCAACAAGGCTGAAGTTGTAGTTGCCTCGAGGAGGATTTCAAATCGCTCAAAGGCCGGAAGTACATGAACGTATGCGGAAATCGACCAAAATATAAAGAATTTCTGCTTTAATATACCATGGCTACAAAGTATGAGTTACCCGAAGAAGCCAACGTAAAACTGCTAAGCAATTTGGGAGAGGAAGTAGAAATGAAGACCTTTAAAACAAACGTTCGATCGACTTTAGAGTATGACGAAAATCAAAGGCTGCTTATCAAAATTCTTTGCCTCGGAGACTATACCGGGGGAGTGGACAGAAAAGGGGTACTTATAAAAGATTACCTGCAAGTCACACCACCGGCACCGAACCCATCTATCGTCCATCTGGGGCCACTAATCGGTTGCGACTTTCACTTGAAAACAATAAAATGGGAAAAAGTCGGCGATCACAATCCATGGCCAATTACCATCAAATTACATTTATTTGAGGTGGCAGAACAAGAGCGCTACTGTACACACATGAGAAATGTTTATTATAGGGACAGTCATGGGGCATTAATATTCTGGGGTCGGGGCAATTCATCCTCACTGGATGGAGCCCCGAAATGGTTGAAAGACGTGAACAGAACTTGTCCATCAATTCTGTGCGTTCTTGTCACGGACAACACTTCAAATAAGCCTCTGTACGGTCCTGGCGAGAAATTCGAGAATAAGATGGCATTTGATCAGTTCTGGAAAGATCACGGCTTTGTCGGTCATTTTGAGATCAAGTCCCGTGACTGGGAATCTGGTGAAAATAGCGTTTTCGGACAAGCTGTCAACTGCCTTATTGAGAAGATTTTAACTGAACGAACTTAAACAAGGAAAAAACTTGGACGAAGCGGAATTACCCATACAGAATGCAATTTACCTCTTTATAACAATTGAAATAGTGGAATTATTCTTGTACATAAGGAAACCTGGTGGCCTGGTGTTACTGGTGGTTAAGATTTTGACGTCGGATTCTTGCCATTAAGTCGTTCCTTTCGACAAGCAAGTTTACTCCTCTTCGTCTCACTCCACCAAGTTGAATACCCTGGGATGTAATAGCATCTGAACCCATCTAGGGGGAGGGGGAGGGGGAAGGGGGAAATCAGCAATACATCCAGGCACTTGTTGCTTATGCGACCGGGATAAGCTTCAACCTCCTACCCGTCCCTACGTCTCTCACTCCCTACGGACGGGTAGGAGAGTACCCTGGGAACAAGGTTAAATAAGCTTCGGCCATGTGGGCTCATTGTCGCTAGGTCGGCTTAGTTCTCCCCCCACCCGCCCCCGGGCCGATCGCCTACAGGGGCTCGTTTCTCGAAAGGCCCGGAAACTTTTCGGGCCCGAAGGCAAATTTTAAAATCTAAACTTGGTGAATAGTAGCACAGTTCCTAGTCCATAAACCAGTCAATTTTGCTTTTTTAACTGATAGTTTTATTGTATTATTTTAGAAATTATTGATGCTTTGTTCGTAACTGCAAACCCTATCCTAGCTTAATTTACCAAGCAGCAAAAACGTGGCGACACCTGACTAAGTTGATCTCACTGGCTTCTCTCTGACCTTGGGAGATCTACATACGAGATTAGTAATGAACTAAACTGAAATACACAGACAAGAGACCAGTGTCCACACGGACATTAAGGGAGCATTCTGGTGGTTTTTAGGGAAATGGGGTTGATTTGAGAAAGATGTTTGTTCGTGACGCATATTACTGGAGTTGCTTTCCCACCCACCCACCCTGGGTTGTCATGTATGAGGGTGGCAGAGAGGTTTATTATTCTCATCGTTTTCACTGTCAGTTTTTCTTTACACATTGAAACTTCTCTCTGTGCCAAAACATAAATTGCGTGTGTCGTTTGTCACTGGGGGGCCTGTTGGGGAGTGAAGGAATATTTCGTCACCCATGATATTAGCTAATTAGCATCAAATTGTACTCAAACTGCCGTCACAAAAGGCTGAATCAGACCTTGGGTCTGGAGGGCTAAATAAATTAGCACTTTGGTGCTGAAACAGTTCCAATGAATTTACGTCCAAATCTATTGATGTAGCTAATAAGCTTTACAGACACACGAATAAAAACTATCTCACTATTATTTTACTGTTTTAATACAACCGACCAGGCACCACTCCATGGATTGTGTCTAAAATAATTATGAATCAATCCTCGTCTGAGCTCAAAAAGTTTTGCTTGACTTTAACCAAACCCGCCTTCGCCCTTGTCGGAGGAACAATGTAGGCATAAGAGAACTGAAAGAGAATTAAAAGTGTTGAAAGCATTAAATACTGGTTGTTAGTAGTGGTGTTCAACTCTTCTCTTTTGTAACTGTAAACCTCTGAGTACGACATCCCACCATATAACTCTCTGGATGAAAGACATGAAAGCTATGAACAATGAAGCTAGGGGTAGGGGCTAGTCGTCAGGTAATTGCAGGGAGCTCACGAAGGATAAAACGTTCATGACACAGTGACAAAATAGTTACCTTTAAGCTTTGTTTTCACTGGCAACAAAAGTAACAGGGACTGATGAAAGCCAAGAACGGAAATAGAACAACATTATGTTGTGGTCAGTGTAAACCAGAAGGAAGAAACAGGCGAATTGCTTTTGGGCTTGTTTGTCGGTTTCACTGATTTGGGGGAACGTTCGAACTCAACCGCTGTTAGAAATAGATACCACCAGTATATGAGGTGATATTTTTGGAGCTTTCGAGACAGGTTAACTTGTGATTTAAAAGGTTATTTTGTTCAATTGAAATCCAATTGCCAAGGAATGTGTCTCGCTCAAAAAGGAGAACTTAAGGGATTCAAAGCCCAAAATTTTTGCAAAATCGCAAAAAAAAAATTAACCGATGCGAATATAAGCGCAGCTCAATATGACGAAATAATTTCATGTAATAAGGTTGTTCGAACGTTAACACCTTCATCACATAAATCGACGGGAAACATGGTTGACGAAGGAGCCCAATTTTCATTCTCATTCCGATTCCGGTTGAGAACCAAAGACTACTTTAAAGATTTTCGATGCATATTTAAATACATGTTTAGCATGTAGATCATCCACACAGATATCACTCTTATCCAGTTTATTGCTAAAGCCCCAGAGGTGCCATCAGAGGTGTTTTAACAGACTTATCCCATGAACCCCTTAAAATTTTGCCGAAAAACACCGTTTAGAGACAGTCGAGCCATTCTCTCCAAAAACAGGCGCAAAAGGCTGTTTATAAGTCGAGCACTTCGCTGCCTACTGTTCCTGATGATAAATTACAGATTCCGAAAATCGAACATGACAGAGGGCAAAATTTCACTCACTGACCTCTCTCTCCCTCTCGCTTCTTTTGCTTTCCACCCCTACCCCCCAATTTCTTTTGCTCGGCATTTATTAGGCTTCATTTTGCTGGGAATAGTTTTCGCGGAAACCCGAGGATCGTGAAATTCTTTTAAAGGAAGTATGGGTGAGTAATGGAACAAGAGTTTTATTCGGATTTTCTTATAAACTTTAAAAAGGTTTTATGCGCTTTTGCCTCGCTTGTTTAACTGAATCGTACTCATTTGCTATGACCGTTAAAACTTATGACGTCACAAGTCAACCTCGTCCCCAGGGCTTTTCCCTTAAAAAATGGGTGGGGCCATTTTCTAAGGGAAAAGCCCTGGGGACGAGGTTGGTCACAAGTCTAACAAGGGACGAGGTTTCGCCAGGGGCGGTTCAAGTGTGGATGGGTTAATGTATACTATTGCTAAGTTACATATGCAAGAACTGGTACACTGTGAGTCTGCATTTTTCCCACGTATGGAAGATTTGCATACTAAAAACACAAGTAACGGAAGCAATTTTGGTTGGCTGCGTCGGCAAATGTCAATCAATCAAAAAGTGGGCGGCAGACGTTTCGTAGAAGGTTTGTATCAGGCTCTCTTTTCGCTTCGCCTTGCCCGCCGGAATGTTATTTACAAAGCGAAACGAAAATTGAAGCTGTTCTCAGGCTACTTACCTCGTGCTTATCTATCCAGGTTCCTGTGTTGACATAATAAGTTCCACCGCTCTTGGTGCCCTCAATTTGTTGCTCCTTCCATACATGAGTGTGGGCAAGGACAACAACATTCTCCTCACAACGCAACAGAAAATCATCAAATCTTCCCAGGGAGCCATTGATCAGGCTGAAGGTCTTGCTAGGGCCGAACTGTACGGTTAAAAAGAAGACAAATCAGTGAACGAAATTCACGATTTTTTCTAACCTTGGCTTTCTGTCGTTATATCGACGGTCATCTCTGCAATAGAGAGATCATCCGAGTGTATTTTGATAGTAGGAAGTAATTTCGTGATTGCTTTGGTTTCGAATTGTCTATTGTGACGTGATCCAGGCCTTTTTCCGCGCTGGCTGCTGTTCCCTACAAACGCTTCCAGATAAAATTGTTTCAGACTGTCTGCTCATTTGTGTGATTGGCCACAGTAAACATGTTAGCCCAAAAGTGTTTCAAAGATGATTATTGTTGTTTGTAAGGTTTGATAAAATTATTGAGACAGATTTGGCTGACACGAAGCTGCGATTTTATCGTTATTTACGGAGTGTATGTGCAAGGAAGTACGAGAGAGAAGAGGGAGAAGACTTTACCTTATCAATGGCACGTTGGAAGTAACGATACTTGAACACATTTTCCATCTTAATCCACCTTCCGTCATCCAGACGGATACACTCATCTCCTGAAATTTTTCGACCCATAGCTCTTTCAATAAGGTGCCTTGTAAAATTTTCTTGTACTACACTCTTGGCCAACGTTTCTACGACAAATGTCTTGGCAAACTCACAACTGATGTGTTGAAGGAGTCCTGCTGCAATGTCCATAATGACCTGGTGTTTGAAACAGCAATTATTACTGACATACCGAAGAGAAAATTGTTTCCTGTTTTATCTAGCAGTTGAATAAAAACGTAAAAAAAAGAGCGAGCCCAATATTCCGCCACCTTGAACACACAAGCTTGGTCAATAAAGGATTTATTTAATGGCCAAGACAAAATCTTTTCGTGTGGGACAAGGCAGGACCGAAATCCCGACCGTGCCACCGGACCAGATATGCCCATCTTGCATGCTCGGATAGCCAATAAGAACGCAGAATTCACTGAGAGCCAGCCGTTAAGGTAGATTTCTACTAAAGCGTAATTTTTTCCATGCGTACCACGTAAATTTCACGCGCGTAAATAAAATTGAGACGATGTATGGAAAGTCACGCGTATAGTCATGAAAGTCGAAACTCTCAAATTTGGCCTTTCATGAATTGCCTCTTTTTCATTTACGCACGTTCGGACGGAAAAAATAGGAAAAATTGGAAAGTGTTGCGATTTTTTTGTTAGCTCGGTTCCTACCATTACTTTGAACTATGTAAACAGTTTTCAAACACTGTAAAGGTGGGTTTCCCGTTGCGTAATTTTTACCTGCGCACGCGCGTAAATAAAATAGAGGTAATGTATGAAATGTCGCAGCGTAAAGGTAAAAGTTGAGCGAGGTTCAACTCTTACGTCTACGCGGACCTTCCATACACTACCGCTATTTTATTTACGCGTGTACCCACTTAAAACTTATGCTTAGCATACGAAACGTCAAGTTTATTAGTTGTAAAATGCGTCAGGTTTTTGGCACGTTTCACAGCTGTTTGTGTTAATTTCTTCTATGCTCTTGCATACTTTTTCAGTGTCGCTCTCTTGTCTCACTGATGTAGCCACTGCCCTCGTTACGTAATACCCGATCGGCCTTCCACCCATTGGGTCATCCGGATGAGAAAGGGAGTACGTGTTAAAAATATCCCAGTCATGACCGTGTGCAAAGCGGATTCTGTACGTCTG